AAATACAAAATATTTCTAGGAGTAGTTTGCCCTATGTTTTCTGGCACTTAGTGTCCAAGTTCTACAGGGACTGTTGTAATTGCATTGCTTAGAGATAGTGAAAATACGTACATGAGAACTTTCTTGTGATGCTTAACACTTTATCAGGCTTTTTTTTTTTTCATTCATGACAAATAATTGTTTTACAGGGAGGTTAGGGTGTGCCTTCTATTTACGTGAAATTCAATTTAAACCATTAACAAAATAAATATAGAATATAAATAAAAGAAAAATCCCATGAAACTAACCAAGTAAATATTTTAATGCTAGTTTCTGCACATATGGTGCCATTTGAGGGTGAGTCTGGAAAGACTTAGGCTAACATCATAGCTTGGAGTTAATTCTAAGTCTGTCTTGGAGCTTTTGTAGCAGTTGAAAACCCTCATCAAAAAATAAAGATGGGATATTTTGATATTGATTATGTTAAGCAAAAAAAAAAAAGGGGAGGTTATATAGTTGTGTTGTAATACATCTGTTTTATTTGGCCTTTCTTTGCCACTTCCTGAGAGGAATTAAAAGCATCTTAGGGAGTGCAGTTTTCTGACATATTTGGATCAATACGTTCTTCTCTGATGTTTTTTGGGGTTTGGTTTTGGGTTGTTATTTCTTTTACATCGAATGTTTAAACGAAGAATTGCAGTAGCGAGAATGTTAAAAGAAAAGATGACACAAAATCCTGCACAAAACCAACCAAACAACCCTTGCAACATATAAAACTTCCCTTCGCTATTGTCTGAGCTACGTTTAATGAAGGCCATATGTCTTAATTCCCCCAAAGAGTACTGAATCATCCTTCTATAATTTATGATGCTCTATATCAGTCTCTTCTACTGGCTCTTGCAGTCTTCTTGTACCAGATCTCCCATCGCTCAAACTGTGGCTGCTATAAACATCACTCATGGCTGTCTTTCGGAGCACCTTTTTGAATCTGCTTATCACCTGTCCATGCAATGATTTAGGCATCTTATAATCACATTTGATTCCTCCTGGCTCAGCCTTTTCTATCGGTGTACTGTGTCCACCCAGCTGCGTGTAATTGCCTGGAATGCAGTGAGTCAGCAGTGGGATTTGTCAAGAACAGGTAATATCAGACCAACCCACTTCCTTCAGGGAGAGGGTAGTGGGCTTGTTGGCATAATAGAAGCAGTGTGTGCCACACGTGTCTAGGTTTGAGTAAGGCTCTTTGGCCCTCTTATATGTGGCATTCTTGTCAGCAGGTTAGAGATGCATGGTCAAGATGAAAGTGCTGTGAGTAGGTAGGAAGCTGTTTGGAAATCCTTATACATACAGTAGTTGTTGAAGGATTCACTGTCAAAATGGAGATACTGCAGGAGCTTGTGTAGCATCTAGAGCTGTTCAGTGTTTCAGTTAACTGGAATGACCCAGTGGGAGAAGAGAGTGCATGCTTGGTAAAGTTGTCTGCAAACACACTGGAGGACAGAATTCAAATTCAGCTACAAGAAAGAGATGTAGAGAAAAAAATGTTAGGAGAACATTCAGGATGAATAAATGCTGTTTATTATCATTAGTCAATACTAATGTCAGTTTTTTTTGAAGGAGGAGACAACTGACTAGATAGGACTTTTTTCAGAGTGTCTGGGGATCATAGTGAGTACAAGGTGAGCGAGGGTCAGTAATATCATGCAATTTAAAGAATCACAGGCTTTTCTGGAATATGCCATCAGAGCATACTATGCATAGAGTAAATTTTCTGCTTTACTCAGCAGCTCTAAGGCTTCATCTTAAGTCCTGCTCTGGACATGACACATCAGCAAAAGTGTGGATCAAGTGAAGACAATCCACAGGAGCAACAAGAGTAGTGAGAGGTCTAGAAAACAGGTTATATGATTAAGAAAATTCTCAAGTTGAGATTGTTTATTAATTTCTGCCTAAAACCCAAGAGGGTACATGTTTTCAAATACAGAAAAAGTTAGAAAAAGGAAGGGGAACATAGTTTGTTCTCCAGATTGAAAATAAGATTGGAAGGAAGGGCCTAAATTTCAGAGTGGAAGATTTTGCAATGAGACCAAGACAAAAAAGACTCAGAATGGCAGGAATGGCAGAGTGCTGAAACCAATTCCCTAGGGAAGCTGTGCATTTTCTATCACTGCATGTCTTTAACAAGTGGCTGTATGAACTTCTGTAGGGAATAGCATACACTGATTTTGCCTTGAGGCTTTAAATTTCTTCCAGTCCTCTGACTCTGTGATTTCCTACCATTTTGCCAATAACACCAACCTCCAGATCACCCACATACTGCCTGTTAATGGAGTAAACTCGCTCCTTTTTTTGCACCATATACTCCAATCTGTAAGACTAGTAGGTGATGTAGAAGGAGTAAAGAATAATACCATATTTGTTTGCAGTCAATCACCCAAAAAAGGTATGTAGCGATGTAACCTCAGGGCATCTTAGCTACCTTGAAAAAATGGTTGGGCTTCCCAGGAGCAGGTTAGCTGTGGCAGCAGTTTTGTACAGACTAATGTGCAGTGATTCCTAGCTAGCCTGTGAGAGCCTCGGCAGGTAGTTTAAAGCCATCTTGGGTATTTCTACATTATCCTGCAATTGTGCTGTAAGCTTGCTCTCAATATGAAGTTCATGATGTGGAAGAGGACAAAAACCTCCAGGAATAATTGTATTTCAGTTGTGTGCATGGTTGTGGTTACTTCTTGGTTCCCCATCCTTCACAGCTGAGTGCTCACTCTGCCTCTCTTCCTTCACTGTTCATTTCCTAATGAAGACACTGTATTTATTGTAAATACTGTAATGATATGTTTCCTGTGCAACTTGGTGATAACTGCAACTCCCTGTTGTTAATTATTATTCAAGAGTTTTACACTATTCAAAGGTTTAGGATTGGAGAATATAGTTGCGATGATTTCCACATTTCAGTCAGAAAAGGATTTTAATTCTGAGAGTTTATAGACAGAGAAGCTGACAAAAAAGAATACCAGTGAAAATCAACATTTTTAAGAAAAACAAGCAAGTCAGTATTTATGTCAGTATAGGATGAACTTAATTTTTCTCCCATCTTTATTTCATTATAATTTTCTACTCAATTGAATATAGCTAGATTTCTCTTTTCTTACTCTAGAGAAGTTATTGTCGATGATTTGGGAAGCTGCGAGCAAAATAAATTCCTAACTGTAGTAACTAGTTGTCAGGCTTCAATTTATTGAACTTCATAGAGATGTATCTTCTTGCCAGTTAACTTTATATAGAGTTATTCATCAGTGTTCAGGTTTTAACATAACAAAGAAAAGGCATATGTGGAATTGTTTTAGCCATAAAGCAACTTTTCCATCGCATGTTTTTAATCAAGTCATAAAGAGACTAGAAATATGACTGTGCTGAAAGGAATATTGGTTATACCTACATAAACCCCCATCTTCAGCACTGTTGGATCTCTTCTCCTGCCAAACTTATTGCTGCTGTCAGCACTGGTCACAGAGTATATGGGAGAACGTCCCCTTAGCCCGAGGTGTGTGCCGTGTGAAGTCACACATCCCGGCGCTGGGCTTTGGAAGGGGTGTCAGTGCCACTCGGGGCTCCCAAGTGCGAGGCACGTGAGCTGTGGAAACCTGCACAGTCCCTTTTCAACAGCCTCCCGAGCCTCCTGCGCCGCGGGGTTCCGCAGGAGGTAAACTGAGCAGTGGAAAGTTGCATGTGGTACTTGGATGTCTGCAAACACACTGGAGGACAGAATTCAAATTCAGCTGCGACAAAGAGATACAGAGAAAAAATGTTAGCAGAACATTCAGGGTGAATAAATGCTATTTGTTGTCATTAGTCAGTAATTATCAACAACACACGCGGTGCGGTGTGACAGCAGCGACCTGTAGCGGGGTCTGTTTGTCTCGTTGCAGCCAGGCAGCGAGCTGGATAACTTGGAAGAGATCCTGGATGACCTGCAGAACAGCCAGTTACCGCAGCTCTTCCCGGACAGCCGCCCGGGCGCTCCGGCAGGCTCTGTCGACAAGCAAGCCATCATCAATGACCTCATGCAGCTCAGCGACAGCAGCCCCGGCGCGGCCGCGGCCACCCCGAAAGCGGCCGGGAGGATTCCCCAGAGCAGTGAGTCCCTTCGCGCCGCGGGCTCGGGCATCCCTCGGGCATCCCTCGG